GTCATTGAGGGACATGGTTCAGTGCTGGACTCGGCAGCGCTGGGTTAATGGGTGGGCTGATGATTAAAGGTCTTTTCCAATCTAAATTATTCTGTGATTTTATGACTATTTTTTCTGAGTAACCATTGCTTTTAGAACTAGATTCATGGAAGGAAAAAAACTGAGTGGATGGATGTTCTTTTGGTCAGCACAGGGCTTATATCCATGACACTTGAAGAAGGTCTTGCCAAGATTATTCATGGTAAAGCAGAAGGAAAAAAACTTGAGCATGGGGGCTCCATTTAAACTAAGAGATAATTTGACCATTATCTAGTACTAACTCTAAAATTGGATTTCCATTTAAATTGCTATTAACTGTATTTATTTTTATAAAATAATAAAATACCTGTAGCAAAACAGAGAACAAATTAAAAATCAGTCAAGAATTTTGATTCAAACCAAGAGTAAGAAACTCTTCACTAACATTTAGATTCTTATTTTTGGTTTAGCAATCACTCTTTCCATTTCTTCAGCTCTCAGAAAACTTTTCTCTGACCTCAAATCATCAGGATGTCTTTGCATCCAGTCTTCTTGAATCTGGGCTTGTGGGGGTCTTGTTCAAATCTAGCTAGGAATATTATTGTGTTTTGTCTAGAGTGGCAGAGTTACAGGCTATAAGTTCTTAGAAACAGTGTTTGAAGTTTTCAGGTGGTTCCATGTTCCTGAGCTGTAGATCAGTATGATTTCACAGATAGTCATAATTATTTCTTTTTTCTTAATTTCTTTTTTTATGGTTTTGTGATTTATTTTATTTTGGCTTTGTTTGTATATTTGTTTATTTTTGTTTGTTCCAGTTTTTTGAACTATCTTGTAGCAATGAAAGACAGAGATACAACCACTTTGTACCAGGTACCAGGGATCATTACAATACAATAACTTCACACAAAAAATACTATGACAGAAAGAAGCTAAGTTTTTCATGTACCCAGTGTCCTCTGCTAGTACAAAGTACATAATTTTGTTGAAACTGATGAAACACTGATTATTTACACCAGTCAGTGACACTCACCCTTTATCTAAATGTCTATGTATATTAGATTTTTAAGGCAAATCCCACATTTAGAGGCTGTAGCTGATTTTTTTTATTGTTTAACCAGAATCATCCATTTTGAGCTTGTTGGTGAAAGGAAGTGATCAAAGTCTTAGTCTATGACCTCTTGAAGATCTGCAACTCTCACTACCTGCATGACTGCGTTTTTTAAACTCTTGAAACTTGTGGCAAGCACTCATGACAACTAATTCTATTTCCTTGATTTTATTCCTGCCACTAGTAAGCAGTTTGGGGACACTTATTTTAAAATATTTTTAAATATAAAAATTTAAATGTTTGATATGAAACAGAGTTCTAGTCCCAAAAAAACGATGTTTTGAGAGTAAGTTGAAGATGAGTCATGAGAGATCCTTGAGATGGTGAAGACCAAGCATACATATTAGCAAGAATAAAAACAGTGGGTGATAGGAATCACAGAACAGACCAGCTTGAAAGGGACTTCAGAAGATCAGGTACAACTTTTCATGGGGAAGGGAGCCTAGGTGAATTTATCTGCCACCCTGTTCAACTGAGTGTGTGAGTCTTGAAAAACTCCAGCAATCAAACAATAGATGTTTAGGAAATATATTCTTTGAGGAGAGGTTGAAAGATGTTCTTTATAATTTTCTGAAAATAAAACCTAAGAGAGAAGTCCATGATGTAGTGTGTTGTGACAATATCCCCAGCTGTGTTCTGAGAAGAAATATAGAAGATTTAGGCTGGATTTGGGGAAGAGACTGAGCTTAGGCCTTACGAAGACCCAGCTCTTAAAAGGTGAAACTGTCACAGTATATCCAGAAGCTGTTTATGTCTTCCACTGAAAAAATTTAACAAAAAGTTTGCTATGTGCAATGGGTTATGCACATAAAAGTGGATGATGTTCCAGGTTGTCCTGTTCTGGTCCTCACATTCCACTCAGCCCCACAGGTTTTGTCCTTTCCCATAACATGCTCTGTGGAAACTGTCTATACTCTCAGAATAGTCTTATAGACAACAGGCACATATTATTACTGTGTATTTTGATGACAAAGTTAGAAATATCAATGCAGAGCTTACTAATTCCATAAAGATTTTAATAACTGCCCAGACTTGATCTGACTGTACTATGCCACTGTCTAGTAAACCCAGAAAGATCCAGAACAATCTCAGTGGCCACCACAACACAAATAGTATTATAATGATTCAGATGTTTTACACAAAGGCCTAAAACATCTTATTACAGCATTTGACAGCAAGATTGGCTACCTGTGCTCAGAAATAATGTACACAGATCCAGCATTCTGCAAGTGAAAAAAGTGAAATTTATAAATGTTAAGATAGAATTTGAACAAGAGATAACACAAGTATCAGAATGACACACAAATGTTGTAATTTTAAATCATTTAAATCTATCATAAGACCTTCCTTGAATTTCACCTGTTTAATACAACATGAAATTAAATCCATTCATTTTGAAAATATTAATTTAATATTTATAGCTCTCATTAAATTACTATAATTTCAGAATTAAATGACGTTTCAAGATATAGTAGAATTCTTCTTAGAATATTTGTTTTTAATCAAAAGGATACACACACTTGTGAATTCATAATTAACTTCACCACTACTTTCTCTACTAATAATTGAATGAAGTTTTTTTTGTACAAAGTTTAACTACTTTTCTCAGCTCTCCTCGTTCCAGAAAATGTCTATCAGCAACCCTATGTAAAATGCCCATTTTTAGTAACAGAACTTGTAAATGACTGCAGAATTCTATGGAAATATTTAATCAGTTTAGATGTGCCTTTAATAAAATTGTCATAATATAATATAAGGTGACCATTGCCAAGAGGTAATTTATTTGCATTCACAATGCTTCAGGCAATTTTTTATTCCCATTTCCCAGGAGTGAAACAAACATGACATTCAAAATTGCATGCCATATTGTGATTATCTGAGGAGATAATTCAAGTCATCACACAAATATTAATTCTGAGTAGGAACTAGGTTAACAAGGCCATGCAGCACTTTTGTTTTGGAACAAAACTTCGACTGAGCATTCACAGCAGCGTTTGAGTGACAGCAGTGCAAAATGAAGTGTAAATACTACAGTTGCAGGCAAAACTATATTAAAGAATGTTACGCAGGATGATCAGCCTTCCAGAACCAGCAAATGTCATCTTTTTCATCTCAGACTGCAAAGTCTGAATCACAGACTTTTGTAACTGCTTCTAGAAAAGCATAGATTTAAACTTTAGGACTAATGGTGGCATGAAGCTGTGGATGAGTGATTCATTGCAAGCCCTGTCCTCCCCAGAGGTGGGAGACACATGATTATCCTTCTGTTTCCATTGCTCTATATTTTAATGACAATCATGACAATCTTCTGTTGGCAGTCTTTGTCAAGATTGTAATACCTTTTATTAAATAAATATTAAATTATTGTACCACCACACATTTGGTTTTGGATTTAGGGATTTTTTGTGTTGGACAGATTCCAAGTTGCTAGCATCAATTAGGATTATTAATTATCATTTTTTATGTAAGAAATTACTCTAAACATTAACATGCTTTGTACCGTAAGAAACTTCTGTGCTAAATTTTTGTCTTTGTAAAGTGCTATAATTCTGCAGAGGCAGATTCTGGTTCTACTATTATTTGTGTTACACATATGAAATTTAAAGATAATAACTTTGGGAGGGCTAATGCCAATGTAATATCTTTAAAATTGATTTCTCAAAATAGTGGTTTATGTTAGAGAACATGTGTATTTTACCACTAGTTTGCAAAGAAAATGTGGAACAAGAGGTACTTAATATGAGGATATGAAGGACTGTAAGGACCAGTGTTTAGTTTATTGAAAAGGAATTTCTTGGCATAGAGCTATACATCTCTTCTTAGAAATCTCTGTTTTATTGAAATCAGGCACTAACCTCATTCCATTGCCCCCTTGATTCCTTTTCCAAGAAAGGAGTAATTTCTAAGTCCAATACCCTAATACAATTGTCAGTATAAATCAGGAAACCAGAGCAAGCCTTTGAAAGAACATGTGAAATTAATTTGGTAGCTGAGACACGTAACTGACACCTTGAGATAAAGGCATAGAAAGATATAAATCCCTAATAAATGATTCTGCATCACCACAGATACTCAGTCTAAACACCCAAAGACAAACACCAGCACAGGACTTTACATATAGCAATAGTTTAGGCATAAACTTCAGATTAGATTGTTTACAAGTTGGAATGTAAATAAGCAAATATCCAGAGAAAATTAACTTCCCACTGTTTTAAGGTAACTATGAGCCATGCTTACAGAATCATTACATGTTTTTCAGCAATGTTTGTGAGCTGGTGCATGGAAGGATAGCGGGAGAAGAGAACTGGGAAAGAGAGATCTCCTTTTCTTTGGAATCCACCAGAATAAAACATCTTTCTAAGAGCAGATTTTCGTTCTGGATAGGTCGTATGGAACTACCCAGGCTAACAACAGTAATTTTCTTTTATCTTGTCATTGTGTTGCTGCATCTTTCCTCTGCCTTTGATAGCTCCTGGCTAACTTTGCTTTCTGATATGTATGTTAAAACCAGCACTCGGTCAGTCACCGTGCTTCTTGCTCTCAGTCACAGAGATATGGAGGCCCTATCAAGCATTTTGCTCAGTCTCTTCATAATTCCTCTGGAGGAGTGGCATTATCAGATTCCTACATAGCACCAGAGATATTTTTGTTCACCTTTAGTGAAGTACTAGTGATTTTATGAAGGAAGGTGTTTTCAGGCTTTTAGAGTCTCTCTTGTACTCAAAGGAAACATAGCACAAGGAGGTTTGGAGTGACAGGGACTAATGTCCTCTACCATTGTGATCCATGAACTATTCAGCTTCGGTGCTAAACAACCTTTGTGAGCAAAGAGTTCTTTAGGAAAAAAACTGGCTCAAATGTAAGTGCAGTGGAGACTACTTCTGGGGATAAAAGATGAGGTCCCTTTTCTATTTATCTTCCAACCACCAACTATTTTCTCCTCATCAAAGATTGCCAGGTATGGTGTAGATTAGATTTTCTTTGATGTTTTCAAATGCTGAAAAGGAACTCCTTTATCTGAGAGCTACTTGGCTCCAGGTAAAGAGAAAAAGTTCCATCCTGTGTGAATGCTGGTTAAAGCCAATTATAACCCAACTGATTTTTCTTTGCATTAAAAAACAATGCCAAAGTCAATACAAAATACAACTCTACCACAAATTTACCTCTAATTCTTTAGTGTTTCTGGGTGGATTTTTAACTGATAATAGGCATGCCCATGTGTGAGAAGGTGGTATTTTATGTTTAAAATGGAGATGTTATTTGTGGAAAACACTGATCTTTAAAAGCTTGCTAAGACAAGAAGAAATATATAAGCCATTGTTCTGCCAGGTGAAAAATGTGAAATGGACTAATTATGTTTCAAGCAGTTTGCATTGTTTATTTAAACACACTTATTTAAAGTGTGCCTAAAATACCATTCCCACAGCTTTGTTCAATGTCAGAAAATTAACTGATTTTTCATGTGTGAAACATTGCAAATGACATCTAGCTCTGATTTGACCAGAAGCACATTTTTTAACTTGCTGTAGAGCAAAAAAAAAACCTTCCGTCACTATATAATGTGTACAGAAAGAAGTGACTATCTTTTCTTGTACAATCATATTGAAAAAAACATAAGAATCTGTGGGTGGTATTAATAGGTGAAGCACTGCATGCAACTCAGAATCATGTCTAATGGAAATTAAGGCACAAATTATCCCTTACTGATAATTGGTTTGCTAACAGAAATGAGAGGGGTCAGTAGAAAGGAGGAAGTGTCCACGTGCCCCTCTGTCTCTATATGTACACATATATACATGAACACATGAACACACACACACACACACACATATATATATACACAGATATATGTACATATGCACAAGTAGCATATATCCATGTAAAGTTACCAGGGCATTAATAACAGGCAACAGCTTGTGACAGGAAATGAAGAATGTGATATCTGCTTTGTACAGAGCAAACTTTATTCAAAAGCACAGTAAAAGCTGTAGCTTTGTTGTATTCTATTAAGCATTATTATATTAATAGAGTGAATTTACCTGATCTATCTTTCATTTCCAAACCTCACAATGATATCTTGATTGATGATGCATACTGTAGATTTTACAGATGCCAGCCAGATGTTCAGAGAAAACTAATGTTTTTGGCCTGGGAAATATACATCATATATATATACTGACACACCTAGTGGAATAAATGGAAAGCATTCCTTAGTGCATTTGCTATCTAGCTCCTATTTATTCTTACACAAGATATACAACACAACATCCTTCAGCCTTCTAGATAAAAGTAAATCTAAACCTAAAGCTAAATAGATGAGAGAGCACAATGCAAATAATTAAAAGCAAAGTTTGACCTCTATTGGGGATCTCTTTTGCTGTAAGTACTCCCCCACCTCTTGCAGCTGTGACAGGACAGGAGGCTGAGCACACAGCTCCAGGTCACTGTAAAGGAGAAAAAGAAAGAAGGAGTTGCTGACAGCACAGCTCCCAGCAGGGAGCAGGGTCAGGCAGGTGTCTCATGTCCATCATCATATCCTCTCCTCTAGCCTCTGTTTCTACTCGTGTGTGTATATACCTGCTGCTATGAAGGGAAGAGACCTGCTTCTTTTTCTGCAATATTGATTAACTTCAAAGCATTAATTTTTCAGCCTTCCTAATAAGATCCTAAGATGGCATGCCTACACTAGCATGTTAGGAGACAAGAGAAAGGAAACCTGACTGCAACAAATCTTAATGACATCTAGGGGAAAAAAGGTTGTATCCTTATCTGTCTCTAGGGCCACTCTCCTGTCCTCCAGATACTCGTAGCATTTTCCATATCATGTTTACCTTAGGAAAGGAAATGAGACATAGACCTCATAAATGTCTGTCTGGTCACTCTGTCCCTAATTACAAATACATTGCTTTTAAAGACAGCAGCTGAAGAATCTTTGCTCCTCTCTGGTATGGATGAATGGCCAAGAGTTTAAGTTTAGGGACAGACAGAAAATAGCAAGGGGAAAGGCATAGTGTATTGTGTGCTCAGCAGTTCTCTGATCCCTGCCACTTTTCATGCTCACTACTCTTCACTGCTTCCAGAGCATCACAAATGCATCAAGCTCAACTACTGCTTGAAAGCTTTCTGCAGGGTACAGATTTTTAGTCACACTGCATTAAACAGTGAAAGTGGAGCAGAACTGCCCTGCTCAGAAGCAAAAGAAACTAATAATGGATTTTCCACCTTGCCAAACAATAAAGATTTGCTCAATTTACATCTACTCGGGGTCTGCAAATGGTGGTCTGTTGGGTGGAGTGTAGTGCAAGCAATAGTGGGGATTTGAAAGCAAACATCGTTATTGCTGTCAGATCCTGGTATTTGATTTGGGTTATATCAGTCCTTTTGATTTTTAAGGGAAACAAGAAAGCAAGAAGACATACAACATAGTTCATTTAATCTATTGCATCTATTACTGTTCATTGCATTGTGGACTGAATGTGGACAGTTTGTCCTTGATTCATTTGGACACACCATAAACTACTAAAGCTTCCTGCTTCCAGGGCAACTGCCAGTGCTGCTGACCTCCTGATTTTAGCATTAGTCTTTCTCCAACACAGTGCTGATGGTGGATCTAAGTTTTTGAAAGGGAAAGAAAAACATATTTTCCTCTTTTGTTTGCCTTTTACTCCTGTTCAGGATAACATAATAATGGCTCCAGTGTGCCAGCAGATATAACATTACAGAAATTAATCAGTGAATTTGGGTCACTTTTAATAGTTCTGCACTGCTGTCATATCATCATGCCAGTTTTATAGATCACATGAGACCACAACCACAGTAAGACTGGTTGGAATCCCAAACTTCTGCTGAAAACAAGACTATTGCCAATACTGTGCTTCTTTCTTATTAAGTCTTGAATAAGATGAAGACTTCACAGAGTCTCAGGACAAGTGCTGTAGTATCTTTCCATCAGGTTTTTCTTGACGTTCAGTCTGAACCTCCCTAGATGTAATTTGTCCCTTGTTATTATATCCACCGATAATGAGGAGTTTGGCTGTGTAAATCCTCCAAAGCTGTATGTTACTAGATCATCCTGAACTCCTCCTCCATCAGGAGAAATGCCTCTCTTGTTGCTAATTGCCAGATATTAAACCTTTGGTTATTAACATTAGAGTATGCTACTTGTTCCAGATGAAAATGCCACTGGAGACAGTGTCAGCAGTGTTACTAAAGTCAAGATATCTTCTGTTTGCTACTGACTCAGGTTGGTCAGGTATAATTTTGTATTGACAGATATTTATTGATTGTTCCTGATTTCTGTATTGCCCTTCATGTATATACTGATTTATTGAAAAATTACTTAACATATTAACTATCCAGAAAACTTTAGAAAAGTCAGCTTATATGACATTGACTCAAAACATATCCTGCCTTTGCCTTAAGGAGTAAAATCGAAATGCAGTAGAGGTTATACTGATCTCTGACTAAGAGGAGAAAAGACTGTATGTTAGGCCTCACAAGGATACACAAAGGTTTTGTGTCCTCGAATTCATATAAATTAAACAGTGCAAATTATCAACCAAATAGTCACTGACCAAGACCACTAGAGATCTTCTCCCTGGTTGACCTGTTCTAATTCTTCAGTGTTTGACATTTAGGACTTCAGGGAAGCAAGATATTCACGGTTTCACTAGTGCCAGGACATGTTAACCTAAATGATTCATGTTTCCATGCATTTTCCTCAGGCAGATAAATGCAGAAATCCATTTGTTCTAGTGAGTGAGCAGAGCAGAATAGAGGGAGAACAAAGTATGGTTGTTTTGCCCAAATTGTATTAACTAGGGAATTAGGAATGTAGGAATTAAAGGTTATCTTGTGCTATAACTGTTCCCCATCACATATTGATCAATTTCCATGATATGTTATAGATATGCACTGTAACCTTTCAACCTATTGCCAAATATAAAAGTTATTACTGTAAAATCAAACTAGACTTCAGTGTACTGTAGCTTTTCTTTTTACAGTCTGTTATCCATTCCCAGCATAACAACCTTCGTTTGTTTTTCAATTATAATTTCAAAATTTGTTAGAAAAAAATGTGTCAATCCCAGAACTTTATCAGCTCCTGCATGATATTCTTAAAAAGACAAAAATTAATGTCCCATCTGCTATGAGAAACTTCCCTATTAATCTTCCAAGTTTCAAAAGTGGACAAAAGAATGTAACAAACATATCTCATTAACCTATTTTTCCATTATAAAAATGACCATATTAAGACAACTGCCTTTTAGCCTTGTACAGTGAACAACATAGTCCTGGGTTGAATTTGGTCCTTACTCTTGTTAACATCTTTTGGAGAAAATGAAAATATACCATTAGAAACATTGGTGCCTTGTACACCTTTAAAAGTTGTATTTATTGCCATATGTGCACCTATAAGACTATTTACAGAGTACCAGATATCCTCAGGCTTTGCTCCCTGAATGATGGGCTGTGTGAATATGTTTCCTTCACAGTGGCAGGTGGAAGAAATTATGACTTCCTCTGGTCCTGTAAAAGGGCAGCCAGAGGAGATAAAATATGTTGTCAGTCTTGAAAGACTGTGAGATTCCTTCTTGCTGCAAGAGCAGCAGGGCTGGATGAAACGTGTGCACTGTAAGCAGTCCTGAGTTTCTGCCTGAATTAATCCCAGAACCTACTTGAACCTAAGGTACCCCAGTCACAAGGGCCTCCTCTCCATGGCACTGGGTCACCCAGCTCTCCTGAACCCCTCCAGATCAAACTTCTCTTGGATTAGGCAAAGCCTAAGACGGAGATACGGAGCTTGTCAGGCACAGAGGAGCCTGCCTGCAAAAAAGCAACCTGCCAAAATGTTTTCACCAAATTTGAATTGGGTGGGTTTGTATCAGATCAATGTTTTTTGTGAGGCAGCTGCCAGCTTCTTGACTTGATACCAGAATGGGTATTCCTGACAGAGGTACTTAATTCACAAGTATTTTTTCTACTTATTTTTGTAGAAACAGACAGCTCTTAGATTTAAGTTCTAATTCAGTTGCCTCATTAATCTCTGTGTAGAAATATTTTTGATTTCATCATCTCAAGATCCATTAGTCTAAATTCAGAGAAAGAGAATATTGTGATTTCTTGTCTGGAAAATCAAGTTTGTCCTCTCTTCTCCTTGCCTGACTTGGAACAGCAAAAAGCTGGACATTTAATACTTTTAAGTATAATATTTTTAATACTTATAATACTTTTTAATACTGATTTTTTTTTTTTAATATAATACCACTGGCCTGTCTCATGGAACTGCTTGACAAAAGTCACAACATTTTTTGGTCCCAGCAAAACCTTCTGTGTACAGGTACAGAATACAAGGGGTTGACAGACACCTCTTTGCTGTCTTTGCTTAAAGTGGCGATTTCCAGCCAGGTGGAGATTTTCTGGACTTGGAAATGTTGGCCCAGTCCCTGTGCAGCTTCCCATCCAGGTCAGCACACCAGGGAGGTGTGGCAGGCATGAGGCTGCCTGAAGTGTGGGAAAGGGGGCGTTCATACAAGTGCTAACACAGAGACATCCTCCTCACAGAATTTTCACTCTGAGGAGATGTTCTCAGGGCTGTCAGACTGCAGTTGTGGCTGGCCTTTACTTGGACACAGGCTCACCAGCAGAGGAGATTGCTTGCATGCCACACACACGCACAACGTGGACCTCAGAAAACTACAGCACCCTGTGGACCAGTCTATCTTACAGACTCTCAGGGAGGCTATGTGGGAGAAGTACAACCTTCTGCCCCAGAAATTCTCCAGATAGGTCTGTGGCAGCAGAAAACACCATCAATTTCCTTATTAATTGTGTTTTTGTTGCTATTAAGAGCACTAAAGATTCAGAGAAGCATGATGCTAGAGCACAGAGTAAGCTATCATGCTGCAGGTGAATTAATTTATCACTTTGTATTACAAGTGTTTATAGCTTTTTCATACCCATCTCTTTTTTCCTCCAAAAAAGTGTCAAAAACTTTTGAGTAGAGAAGCCTTAAATGTGTTCCTTGGAAGTATATCCCCTAACTTAAAGAAATATGTGCATGTAAGATCATTTTAGTATGCAGTTTAGTCATCTAAATTTTTATGGTCCTTTTCCTGTTTTCTTGTTGGTTTACTTTTCCTAATCTACATAAACTATTTTTCATTTGTTATAGCCATCTTAGCCAACAGATGGTGCTATGTATAACATTTTTATGATATTGTATAAAATAAAAATAAATACTACAGTTAAATTGTACATGTAATTACTTTGTTAGAAAATAAACGTGGAATTGAAGTTCACAATAATAAACGCTTATCATAAAAATTAGAAGCAAGAAACAATAAGTGCTGAGAGTCACTGATGAATGTTCATTTCAGCGTGCAGGTAGGAAGGATGGAGTTGCATATGTAAAGCTGGCTGTGGTATCAATGCTACTGTGCTTGTACAGGAGGCTCTTTTGCCTAAAATCAGGACTTCATGTTGATAGATTTTAAGAACACTAAAATAATCAGTGTCTGTTTTTGGTTTCTATTCTCTGGGATTAATACACCTTATCTAAATTGAAATAGAAAGGTGTGGTATGCCATGGGTACTCACAATTTATGTAGGACCATTCCAGTATAGACAAATTATGAAATGCAACTGTAAGAACCAAAGTTGAGTACCACCAGTGTTTCACGCTGTACCAATGTTTCATCACCCAAACAGTGCAGTTGAGTTTGTTGGTTCTACTCATGCCTACAAAATTAATCATGTACGTGCAAAACAGATTCTGTTTTCTCTGGGCTTGGATTTTCTGTCTGTAAAAGGGATGAGAGCATCAGTAAACAAGGCATGACCAAGACTACAGTGGTGAATACATTCTGCTAAAGCTGTTAGTATCATCTTGTGTAATCTTTTCTCTTTCCAATGACAATTTCTTTTCCTAAATTTGAGGTTTTTTTCAACTAGGCCATAGTTAATCCTATTTATCCTGTCCCAACCATTTCAATGAATTCAATAAGCATTTTATCTTACTTTTAAAACACTTCCAGGAAAGGTAACTATTTTTATAATATAAATATAGATAGACCAAGACAATTACAAATATTTTATGTGGAAAAACCATGTACTTTGTTTTTACTGCAATGAGTTGTCAAAGACACAATCAGTGTGGAATAATTTAAGAGGGCTTATCATATGTTTCAGTGAATGCTGAACCAAGATGCCCTCAGTCTTACAAATGCCAACACTCAGATCCTTGTTCACATGAATAAATGTATGTTCTTCTCCAAAATTTTGAAAGTACTTCGTTTTATTACAAGAATGTTTGAAGTTTGAGATAGCAGTCTTCATTTTACAGCTTCTGGTGATAACTGTTAAAAATACCTTCATTAGCTATTTTCCATCTCATTTTATTCTTTTTGTTCACACAGTTAGGACCAAAGCATGTGCTATCAATAAAAAAGGTGATCATTGCTGTCGAATGAAGATTTAAAATTTTCAGGCACAATGTAACAAGTATTATATTGATAATTTCGCATACTCAAAAATATATATTTTTTATAAAAAACAATTTCCATTTTAGTTTGCCTCATAGATTTGATTAAATTCTATGTTGATTAATGATCAGGAATTATAGAATAATGCAATAATTTGTCTGTATGTCAAGACAATTTTTAACTGAAACTGAATTGCTGGTGCTTGCTAGTCTGAGGAAGGAGAACATGTTTTTTTCTTTTTGAAATGAGCACTAGTTTGGACTGAAAATTATGTCAGCTTTAAACCACTTTCAGGATGTCCAAAATAAAACATTCAGAATTTTCTTCCAAATTTCCCACTATCTGCACTTTCCTCTTGTGAGTAAGGTATCACTAGGCAATACTTTCCAACACGGCATGAACTTGTGTAGGGGGAGGTTTGGACTTGATTTCAGGACAAAGTTCTGGCTGAGCACTGAACAGGCTCCCCAGGGAAGTGTCACAGCAGGAGCCTGACAGAGCTCAGGAAGTGTTTGGACAATGCCCTTGGGCACATGCTGTGACTTGGAGCTGCCCTGTTCAGGGACAGGAGCTGGACTTCAGTGATCCCTGTGGGTTATTTCCAACTCAGGACATTATAGGACTCTATTGTTCCATTTTCAATCATTCTTCTGCAGCCTTTACTCCTGTGTCTGTAGGATAGGTAATGCTTTCACAGAGAGTTCTTGGGGCAATTTTCACATCAGAACTTGGAAACAAGGGAGGGATATTCACTGCTGGTGCATAGGTTTCCATATATAAAGTTTCATTTCAACTGAGATCACTGAAATAAAATGTATCCTCGTTACAGCTGGCAGACTAGTTCTCCAGCTGGATTATCCAAATTTGCCACAAAGAGGAGGGAGACAGGAGTGGTACGGTTGTAAATGGAAAGAAGTTGGAAGAACTTGGCCCTCAGCAGAATTGTGTTGGGGAAATGAATGCAGAAGCCTGGGAACAATGCCAGGAGTAAAACTGACAGGAAGTTCATGGGTTTGTATAGGATGGTGACACCGAAGTGGAATTCTCTTTCATTTTATCATCCTCAGTAGCACACTACAACCTGTGATCTGAGTTACACATTGCCCTGTGATGAGAGGGCATGCACTTTATCTCATCCTCTCTGTCTCTCTTTTCAGGAAGAAGATCCTATTGATATAAAGACTTAAAGGCAATAATGGCAGAGTGGCAGCAGTTGTCATGATTCTACAATAGACCCATCTCCCTACATTCCTAGGAGGAAAGTTTCAGATACAGTATTTGCTACCCAGAGTTTTTTTTTCTTCCCTGGATGTCCTAGTCCTTAATTCATTGATTAATTATTTTGTAGTAACTACACATCTACAATGTAGACTTGAAGCCATTGAAGCCAGCAGTAAAATATTTACTGTAGTTGAAGACAAGAGATACCAAATTGAATAGATCTAAAACACACACTGGTAGAGCACTGGCATTGATATCTGTGTTTCAGCCAGCTAAGAAGCCCTGAGTTAATTCCAGTGTGAGTGTTCCTTGCCTCTGTGTTTAATCCTACTTGTCCACTCATACTTTGGATTAAGCCAGCTGTGATCTTACTGGATATTTGCCCTGCAAAATTTCCAGTCCATCCAGAACAGACACCCACCTGACCTAGGACATCTCCTGATTTTGCTTCTGTGGTGGGTGACCTTGGGTGGATGGCAAAGGTCATGCACCACAGCTTGGATTGGCACCAAATCACTCTATCTGTCCCCTTTCTCAGCTGTGCAAGAGGAAGAAACTACTATAGAGAGCAATTCATAGGTAAGGATAAGGCAATTTTCTAAAACAAAAGTGAAAAGAGCTGAACAGCTGAAAAGAGCTTCTCAGCACCTATTTTGAACAGGCACTATGGCTTTGTGTCCTGTCCCTGCTGCTCTCTGGGAGCATGAGCATCAGCTCCAAGATCAGCTGCACTGATCTTGGAGCTGGGACCTTGACTACTGTATACTTGGCTAGTGGAATCCTGGGGACCGGCTATTTACATCTGCTCTCCCTTCTCAATGGCTTTATCTCTCCTCCCTCTAGCTTGTTGAGGTGTAGGGCAGAGTTATTACTTCTACACTGGTGCCAAATCATCTCTCACACCTGAGAAACCACAGAATAAACTTCTTCAGTGACTGGGTCATGGCCTGTAGTCTGGTGGCATAAGGAAATGGGTGCCAAACAAGTCACCTCTTGGTACAGGTACACATTCTACTGGTTACTGCAGCATTCTCAACCACATGACATAAAAGGTTGGGACGTCAGACTCATCTAATTTTCTGAGAGTCCATTTGAACTCTGAGAGTTCATATCAACACGAGAGCACCGAGTGTTCCAAGCTGAAGAGGAACTTGTTCCCATGCTCAGTGACGGGCTATTGCCAGAAATTTCACAGCTATTCTGTGCCCCTCTTCCCCTACTTGCTTTGTTCCAGATCTTTTGACTTTATGTTCATACTGGTCTCAGATTCCTTCATCTGAGAAAATAGCTCCCACCAGGTCGGAATGTGCTGCTGGGTTATACAAAAGTTTGTTAAGAGCCTTTTAACTGAAATTGCAGGAAGTCAACTTGGATGAATGTGTGCTTATTTGCAATTTAGCTTTTCCTGAGAGATGTCACATACTGCCAAGAGCTGTTCACTACCTGAGTTGCTATAACTACTTTATTTCTCATGTTGAGGTCACTGCTGTAAGGACACAGATGAAGAAAATTTTCTTCCTTGGAATAGATGAAGAAAGTTTTATTTTTATTATAAGATTTTCTTATTAAGAGTCTACATGAATATTACATTATTCTGATCATAAAGAGGATTGTCTTAGTGAAGAAAGGTCTTAGTTATGATTGTCACTCCTCATTGTATCATCATGTTGGATCTCAACAGGGGCACAGACAAGGAACATCACAGAATTTCTTGAATTCCCTGTAAGCTGGATGTGAATGTCAGCAACATTAATTCACAACACCATTACTTTGTCAAAGTTAGTTACACGTGCTATTATTTTGAGAGTATTTGACTGATATAGTTGCCTCTATAATTAGGAGTCTGTCACATTTCAATTATATTTTCATACCAGTTTCCCAAAGGCTTATAAATCAGATAAACTCCCTTTGGGCTGAAATGTGCCATGATAATTAGTGCAGGGACAGTTTTGTTTGTGTGCTGTGGTCCAGTGCTTTGTTAGAGGATTATTATACAAATAGGGTAAATGTGTTGTCATATCTTCTAGACCTTCAAAAAAAATTAAGGTTGGTATTTTCAGTTTTCACTTAACCATTTTATTATAGAAGACACTGAGAGTTTTGCCAGTGCTTTGTCACAGCATCGTAGCAATCCTAAGTACTTGCTGAAGGACACTTGCATTACAAAAGTAGTATATTTCATAACAAAATCATACTGTCTCACTAAACTACTGAAGGAAGAAAAGGAGGATCAAATGTTAAATTGTCTTATTTCTGAACACCTTTCCAAGTAGCAGCTCTTGACAGAAGTACGTCTTGTGAATGTACAATGCAAAACAGTTGGATAAGCTGCAATTGTGTGTAATTAGAAATGCACTTTTGGAGACAGTGGAGGAAGAACAATTAATAACTTGAATTTGTTTTCTCAAGTAAGAGTTTTAGGAAAAAAAAAAAAAAATTACTGGTCAAAAAAAGCCTTAATGCAATGATGCACAGATGTGCTGTGGAATTCTTAAAATGTGAGATAACGTTGAGAAGGTCCTCACTGAATATTAAACAACCTTGGAATCTGCTACACAGAAATAGCATTTTTTCCTCTCTTCTTAATGTAGGGGTAGGGTGCTGAAAGCTCATTTTTTCAGAAAAGAGGCAGCTGACAATTTTTTCAGCCTAATCTACCTCTGTATGTAAGTGAGGCTACTGGATTTGCATTTGTGGGTTGTTTTTAGATGGGGACTGGTGCTTCTAGACTAAAAGTCTAGTTTAGTCTGCTTGCAGACCAAAGAATCTTTAAGTGTTTGCCTATATTTATTGATAGAGGCATTGACAGGGTGGCATTTTTTTGTCCAAGCAGGCAATGCACTAGGGAGGGCTCTTCCTGCATGGAGCCCAGCTGCTTTCAGTGACATCCTTTCTCTCTGGGGACAGCATTTTACTGGTAATGGAAAGAGAAAAATATGGCAAAAAAGATGTGGGGGAAAAAAGGATACACAAACATTCTGAAATTCTGTTTTCATGCTAGCAATCCAAACTGGAACTGTGGAAAACGGTGGGCTATTTTGTATCTCACATGAATACAAGATGTATTTTTCAATCAACTTTTCTCTTCCAGCAGATTGTCATTATTCTTAAGCATAGAATTTTTTTTATTGTAGAGGAAACTGGAGCAGGCCAGCTGTGAGATTGTTTAGCTTAGCAGTATTCATCCTCTAATTGTCACATCGATAAGATTTAGTGCAGCCTCTGTCCTGGGCAGAGAACAATATATTTTCAGAGAAACACAGAATTATTTGGGTTGGAAGGCACTTTGAAAGACTTTATAATACAAACCCCCTGCCATGAGCAGAGACTTCTTTCACAAGAGCCATTTGCTTAGAGCCCTATCCAACCCAACCTTGAATATTTACAGAGATGAGGCATTCACAACTTCTCTGGAAAAAACCTTTTACGGTGTCTGAAATTCTTCGGAATTCAAAAATTCTTTATATCTAATAAAAATCTATTCTATTTTACTTTAAAGGCATTTCCTCTTGTCCTATATATCCTTGCCAAAAGTCCCTACCTGGCTTTCTTGTAAGCTCTTTTCAGGTACTGAGAAGCATCCAAAGCCTTCTCTTCTCCAAGCTGAACAACCTTAACTTCCTCAACCTGCTTTCACAGCAGAGGTGCTCCATCCTTTGGATCTCTGTCCAGACCTTTCTTATGCTTAGGATTGCTCCAGCAAGAACTTTATAGTTGCTCTTGTTGAATTTCATGAGGTTTTCATGGTCTAGGGGTAAGGCATGCTATTTAATCCCATCACATTTCCTTTTGTGAGGTTCTCCTAGCTGTCTAGTACCTTCTGAGCCAGTGCCTCTGCATGGTGTGAGAGATAGCCTAGGGTACAGGGTGGTACCAATGTCATCCTTACTTTCTGGAAATAAAAAGAACCCATCTATACAGAGGTAAGGGATGCTAGACCCTCAGCTCCTCCTTCTCTGTTTTGTTTATAATTTAGAATGGACACATATAAAAATTCTAAAACCATAGTGCTAAGTAGCAGGCAGAATTAAGGGAAAAGAGAAATTAAGAGAAGGAAAATCACTGTTTAAAAATCACCTCATTCAGGAGTACAGAAGCATATATTCATGTTCTTCTGGAGATAAGTAGGTACTGAAGACCCACTTATATCTAAGTACTTTCTTGAGCATATCATTTAAAATAAGATTTTTTTCCTTCAGGTCATGTAGTATTATAACAATTAAAACTGCAGTTCCCGTTTGCCTAATTATGAAAATTAGGATTTCTTATGCAAGGCTTGCATTTCTCCACACATAGGTTTTTTTATTTGTCCTTTTATACACAAAAAGCTTTAAAATCAGAGAGGAATAGACACCTTTTACTACTTTATGACATTTTGCTTAAAAGTAGAAGGGAAAAAAAGGCTAATTTTAGTATTTCTTGGAATTGGTTCTTCAACTGAGAATTTCTTCAAACTTAATTAATATATGTATACTTTTGTTTGCATTTAAATGCAATAAAATATTTGTTGCTAAAATTTCAAACATAGCCACAAAAAAGCTAGTCTTATTTGAATAATTACTTGGCTTGACCTTCTCTGCTTGTTTTCTTCCTTCTAGCTTCCAAAAGATGTCAGTGAGCTTGCTTTTTCATAACTTGTCTGGAAAATTACCAGCAGCACTACAAAATTTTCTTGCTAATTTTCAATATTGTTTCTTTTATTTAGAAAATTTGAATGTGGTTTGGCTTTTTTTTCTTTTTTTTTTTTTTTTTAATATTTTTTTTTCTTTTTTTTTTTTAATAAGGCACACACAGTGTACATATTCACATAAATTGAGTGTTGTACTGGTGTTTATTTTAGGAGTTAAAATTTTTGATGCCAGCTTGTGCATACGTGTCTGTATGTGTAATGAAGTCTATGATCTGTTCCCAGAAGTTAGCTGAAGTATTTTCTTTCTCTCTTCAATAATAAACGAGCAGAACTTTGACAGCAGCCAGGGACTGCCTGATGAGAGTGCCAAATAACTGA